TGTGTTCTACTGTGATTTTGCCAAGTATATTCTCTTATTGTAGCCACTTCATCAGATGAGTTAACATACTAGATCAGATTAACATGGCCTCAGGTGCATGGGATGTAACCATTAAATTGATAAATGTATTATTTTCTATTCTGAATTTGTATAGCATGGACATAGGTATTTATTTATATGTTTGTTTCTAGAGCTACATGAACTCACCTGCCTCTAGTATAATATAATCTGAAGAGATCTAGACTGACTGATTATTCAGAAAACATTATAACGATTCATTTCATCAACAGTATCAGGATGATGGGGCAGGGTGGTCAGTTCACTGGAGGTCTTAAGAGACATGCATTCCAGGGGGGAAAGATTCAGGGACATGCCAGTTTTATTAGAGTATTTAGGGGTAGAGTGGCTAAGGGCATGGCAGGATAAACCCTCAAAGTAAAGGCAAATTGCTTTATCTTGCATTCCCTGCTACAAAGCAAAAGGTCTTGCCAGATATACGCCAATATGGGTTCTTGAAGCAAACATCTCCTACCTATGAATAGTATTCTGACCCATATACTGGGTGATAATGAAGGTGGTCATTTCTGAGTGGGTCCCAAAGCAACAAATGACTTCGCTGTGGGTCTAGGCTGTCATGTGAAGGAGTTAAGAATGTGCCAGCCCAAAATCTGCTGAGTTGGTATACTGATTATTTCAAACTGAAAACACTTCTGAGAGTGCAATTACAGAAAGGGCTATCTGAGCTGCCTTTTTCTACATGTAGCAAACCATGAAATTTCTATGGTGAAAGATGCCTTCTCTGTGCCAGCATGAGAAAATAATCCTATCATCAGAGGCTGGAAATTGGTTGTGTGATGGACTTAGATAGATAAACTAACTAAGGTGACCCTTCTCTGATCTCTTTGTCATGTCACTTCATAAACTTCTCATTCCTTGTCTAAAAATCATAAAAGCTTTCTGCTTTGGCCATTGTTTCTGGTCTTCATTCTCCTGTACATGTAAAAATTAATAAAACTTATATCCTTTTCTCCTTTGACTCTATTGCATGTCAGTTTGGTTCCTAGACCCAGCTAAAGATCCCACTTAAGAATTAAAATGGATAGACGTGATCTTCAGCCTCCCCTATAGGTGCAAGTATAAGCCATGATTTAGGCCATAAAATCTGTTGCGCCCTATGTCTTTGACCCTGTGTGAGTAGCTATAGTGAGAAAAAGCACAACGTGAAATCTGTGGCAAGTTCTAGAGGGAGAATCTCAGTGCAGGTCCTTGGTGTTTTGAAGTAAGTCCCTGCCATCTGCCTGTGGAGAAAGAGCTCTTGGTGTGTCACTGGGCTCCAGGTATGTGAGTTCAAACCCTAAATGGAAAATGACTGCATAACATTCCCCTTGAGGAGTAACTTCATAAAAAGAGTTGAAAGAAACCATTGGTATTGGGTAGAGTGACAAGTGAACTTGGGCATCTACTACATGTGGAAGGATAAGGGGACCAAGGAGGGCCTCTAATGAGACCTCCAATGTACTACCCACCTCATGTGGCTAATAGCCTTACCAACTGGACTAGGGCTTGGAATAAAAAGGCTGGAGAGCCAAAAGAAAAGAAAAACGCTTTAGAGTGAAGATAGGTGGTTTCAGATATAGGAGTGGTCAGAAGGCCTGACGATTTGTGTAGTACAGTTTAACATCTACCAAGTGGCATCCACCCTGAAAGCAATGGGATTTATTGCTTGTATCACATATCATATCATAGCTTTTATATATAAAAGCAGTTCTCAGAAGCACCATTCTGTTGGTTACTGGATTTCAAATAAGGGGCGAAACAATATGAAGAACTCCCACCTACAAGTTTTGGCTAAGGTGAAAACTGATGCTAAAGTTTAAATAACAAGGACAATTACTGAAATCCTATCTGGGAAGATTCACTTGTGACATCATGTGCTCTTCAGGTACTCCACGATATACTTCAATTGGATAAAGCCTTTAACCTGTGTGTGAGTCAATATACATATATACATATATTTTATAGTTGTGTGTTCCTACCTAGGGATAAGTTAGGACAACCTCCCACACTGCCCAGTTTTTAGTCAAAGACAGCATGTATGAAAGAGCCCTAATTTCCTTGGATGGAAAAGTAACCCTGTTCCTGTTTCTGAATTAAAAAAAAAAAATAACCATGGAGGTCGCGTGCTTTGATTCTTCTTAGGTCAACCTTCTGTCAGACTGAAGTCAGTTTTTTCCTTTTGTTTTTTGAATCCTTTGGATGAGCAGAGAATCCTTTGCTTAAGTTAGGGCAAAGCTCTCTTGTTACCTCAAACTTCTTTTACTACTCCTGTTCAACACAAACCTCTGGCCAGGTCTGTGCCAGATATATGGTCTGGCAGAAAGTTATAAATCTGTTAAATTCCTCTAAATGGTGTGATTTCAGAAAGTATAATTTTGAACGGCAGTGCCTTTTGTTACTTGGTCCATGTCACGTTTGTGTATTTTTGTGGTACCTTAGAAAGAAAAGGTAACAATAGCTGACACCATGACAAGTTTACTTCAATTGGTATGAAGAAGTCAAGAAAAGAGATCTTTCAAACGGACTCCAGTTTTTTGGGGGCTTCCTTTCCACACCTTCAATGTTCTTCCCTTTCCAAGGATCGTCTCCTTTCTATCTACTTCTGTTACGTCTCTTATACCCCACGTTTTCCTCGCCTCTCTTCTGTCCTGATCCTTATCTTTTTAGACCTCTTGCTCTTCCTCCTCCACATCTCCAGTTCCCTTTTACCGTTTGACCTGGAACATCAGCTCCCGTTGGATATGCCAAAGCTCTAAAAATAGGAGACATTTTTTTTCTTTTTTTCAAACATAAGATCTTGCTGTGTGGCCCAGGCTGGGGTACAGTGGCATGATCATAGCTCACTGTGGCCTTGAACCCCTTGGCTTAAGCAATCATCCTGCCTCAGCCTCTTGAGTAGACGAGACTACAGGTGCACGCCACCATGCCTGGCTAATTTTTATTTATTTATTTATCTGTACAGATGCGGTCTCGTTATGTTGCCTAGGTTGGTCTCAAATTCCTGGCCTCAAATGATCCTCCTGCCTCAGCCACCCAAAATGCTAAGATGATAGGTATGAGTTATCATACCTGGCCTGGAGAAAAATCCTTTAAAGACAACTCTAAAGTTTTCTGCCCTTGTGTTGACTGGGTTAATGCAGTCAATTGACAAGGGTGTGATGAATCTATCTCAAATCTCTGGTACCAGTTAGAGACCTCTTTTAACAAAGAGGTCTTTTCTTGGGCCATGACACTGCCACTGACACCTATTTTGCTTATGGCCTATAACCTGAATTATCAAATACTATTTATTAATGGCAAATAGACTGGCACCACACCTCTTCTCAAGTTAAGACACACAGTTTACTATTTTTAATAGCATGATAAACAGAGTAAACCACACACACTGAAACTAATGGAACTACAGATGGAACAGCCTGAGGGAAAGAACAAGTGCTTCACAAATGCAAAACAGACCCAAAAGATAGGAGCAGGTATTGGAAAAGAGAAAAAAAGTCTACATACTATATATGACCTACAGTTATCATGCTTTGGCAAATAGCCTGCTCAAACAAAATTACCTTCCTTGTACTCTAGTTTCAATAATTGCCTTTGGATCAGGAAAAAATATCCCAGTTTAGTAAGTGGTCATCCAGCCTTCTTTTTAGTAGGTAGTGGTACCAGGTGCAAGTGCAACGACCAATGTTTGGCAAGGGCACAGTGAACAGGGGCTCAGGAGTGTCGGTAGGTGAAGACCCAGGTTACATGAGCTGTTGAGCCAGATGGACAACACATGGGGGGGCAGCAGAACTGTATACAAGATAATAGTCTACGATGTCATACATGGGTGGCACACCAGGTTGATTCTCTAGCTCTGCATCCTTCCTCTCCGCTTTGGTGGCTGCCCTCACTCAGATTTGATATTTTCAGGAGAGTTGATCTGAGACCTGAATCGTTAAAACAGAAGGAATGTAATCTGAATCCCTTGTCAGACCTATCCTAGTGCACTGTTTCTGAAGTGATGCTTCCTGATTCCCTTTAGCTAAAATTTTGCATCTGTACATGTTTTAGACAGTTCCATCCTGTAATATGTAGATAGGCAGAGTTTAGGCAATTCCTGAGATATTATGTGGTTCTATGACTTCAATAACCACAGGCGTTGAGAAGTGATTTATCAGTGAACAATGACTCTTTATGTAATTGGTTAAACAATAAAGATGAAATACCAAAGTCATTACACGTGGACTTATCCCAATTTTATCACAACGCAGGAATGATAATGAGAATGCTAACAGATAGCATGTACTAAGTGCCTAAAATGTTCCAGGCCTTTCTTAGGTGCTTGCTTTTGATTGTCACAAAACTTTGGAAAAGTACATTTCATTTCTGAATGTAACATATGGACCTTGACACTCTGAAATATTAAGACTTTGCCTGTGATCACATAGTGAACAGGTGGTAGAACCATGGCTGAAATTTAAGGTGCCTAAGTAAAATAAAATAAATTAAAATAAAAATCTTCTTATTTTATCATCGAGAAAGTTACTCTTATGCTGACTTGTTTAACACTAAAAATAAAATGGACAAATAACAAAAATCTAATACACTACCAATCACTAAAAGGCCTCAAGAGAGTCAAAACAACTGTATACTTGTACAAACAAGATTTAGCACAGTGGTATATAGAAAACCTCAAACTCCCAAATTCTAAATAAGCACAGGTCCTGTTATCAGTGAACCTAAGGTTTCTGCCATCATCTATAGGAGTATTAACAATATGATCAGACATGAAACATTAAGTAAACTTAAACACACAGGCCCTTTTTAAATTGCCAAGTGATTTTATTTGAAGATGACAACCTCAGAATTACTAAAAGGTTATGTAATTGTCAGAGTGATTATTGATCATTTCTCCCAGTAAGTGCCAATATGATTTTCTCCATCATGTGGGCTTCCATTAGTATTCACTCATCTTCATGTACAGTATTTTTCAAAACTTTCTCTTCTACAGTTTGTTTTGCTCGTGAAAGGCCACCAACAAGAAGTGAAACCAGAAAAAGGATGAAACGAATAAATATTGCAGTTACCATCTTGTTTATATTCACACGTATGTTGGCTGCAATACGAGGGTTTTTGTAAGGCGGAGGGCCGCTATCAACACTGCCACCTGTTCCCACTGTGTCACATGATGGTGGTTTCCAACCACGCAAACAGTGACAATGTTTCTTGTTGTTACACACCCCTTTGAAGTTGCAGTTCTTCAAATCACAGTCAAAACCCATGTCTGGATAATAAGTACAATTCTGATTTAGGCAGTATTTTCCTGGGCCACATCCTGCACCATCCACTACAAGCCCCACTTGTGGCAAATCTGTCCCACTATGCACATCATATCCAAAGCATTTTACTTCTTTAACATCTTTTACTATTATGCTACGAAATGTAGAGTGCTCACCTCCACCAGGAATTTTTTTGACACCACTGCAATGCAGCATTCCACACAAAACATCATCTTCTTCGCATGGGAAAGGTTTACTTCCTCCTTTTTGCAGTGTAACCCCACAGTTTCCAAATCGGTCGCCCTTCATATTCAATTTTTTATAGCATGCTGGTGAACCATCTTTCACTCTGAAGCCAAAAAGAGCTTGACACTGCATACCACGGTCACTGCAGTTTCCTCTCACACAAACAGATACTGCTGAACATGGGGTCCCATCCTGGAGGTAGAAGTCATCTGGACATGTGTTTCCTTTCCCATCACAGAATTCTGGTAGATCACATATGCCACGTGTGTCTCTGCAGATGGTTCCCGGGGGAGCTAATTTACAGCTTTGGCAGCAACTTCCTTCATAACAAATACTGCCAAGGTTAAGGACACAATTGGTCCCACAACATTTATCGCTGGCACACTCTTTAAGGGAGCCACAGTCACATTCTTCATTCCTATTTTTGATCTTGTCTCCACAACGAGGAGCTACATAAGGATAATTGTCATATGGAACATTTTGACCACTCATACAAGTATCGTATCCATAAATTCGGATATGAAGCCTTGCATAAGAACAATTGCTGAACATATCTAGAAGACCAGGAACAGGAGCCATGACACAGTTGGTTCTTCGAAAGCAATAACAACCATACTCATCATGGTAGAGGCCAGCGCTATGGCCTACTGTATGTGCTGTAATAGTTGCAATTAAAAATAAGTGTGCTTCTTGTACATATACATATCCTGCTCCCCAGTTGGGATTGCACAATCCTCCATGGAAGGCAAAATAGTGATTTGGTCCAATCATATGTCCTGTGAAAAGAACTGAAGTATCATGTGGAAATTTTTTATACCAATAAATCCATTTCCACAAACCAAAGAATTCTAACACTGTCTCGGTAGGTGCGTCTTCAACCCATGTTGCATCCTCTTTATCCCATATGCACAACATACGTATATGGATACTTATAACCGCTTGGATGAAAATAGAATGTACTATGTTGTTTAGAATCACCGTTTTCTCTATCCAACGTGTAATATTTCTGTCTCGTAAATATAATGAGTGAGAAACAGTGTAGTGAAGTTTCATGTATTTCCTATGATACCTCCACAAATAAATAGGACCTGCTCTTGGAGTTTCAGCCAGTTTTACCTTTTCAAATTCTTGATTTGTCTCTGTCTCTTCTACATTACACCTTTTTGCCTCTTCTGGTCTTTCTTCTGACACCAGCAAAGATACCAAATGCTCAAATTTGGAAGAAGCCTCCAGGGGTTTGATTTCATAAGTCAAGTCATCTACCTGCAGCATGCCACGCAGACCTCCATAGCAGGTGTCCAGTGTGGCCATAGACCCAGGAACCCCCTCCAGGTAGCTGTAGTAGTAACAGTCTTGGGGGACAAAGGGGTAGTCCTCCTGCATGGCCCCTTGGTCATTATTGGTAATAACAGGAAAATGTCTCGGCAGTAAGTCCTTCTTGAGCTTCATGTGAATCATGTGTCTTCGACCCTGGAAACGCATGCTGTAGGAGAGCTGGTCTGGCATCTCAACTCCACCCCTCCTGTGGGCCACCTTCCTGGGGATCACAACTTCAGAGGAAGAGAAGCGCCATCCTGGTGGGAGATGGGAACAGCAGACGGGAGACAAGAGTGCCCAGAGTACAGGCAGCCAGAGAGGACCTCTTAGGAGGGCCTGGACCCAGGCACGCCCCATGAGGAAAGGAGTCTTTGACCAAAGAAAATGCAGTCTAGTGGGAGGCAAGCAAGACAATTCCTGTCTTCAACTTTCTCATCAGGGCAGTCATGAGGAGAGTGGACTGAGGCTATAGGCTTGGCATTCACTCATAGGTGAAGAGTGAGAGTTAGGCTATTGCATAACAATGGTGTGCTCATAAAGGGAGGCTGTGCTCAGTCAACTGGAGACCCCAGGGTAGGGACCAAAGGAAGAGAAGAAAACGGGAGAAATTGAGAAGAATAGTGTATACCTGAGCTGAAATGTCCCTTGTCCTCTAAAGGAAGTTGTAAGTGGGGACAGAATAAGTAGGTATGATGGAATTTTAGGACAGTTCATGACTTTTTTCTGAAGATGAAATGAGGTAAGGCTTTAGCATGTGACTAAAAGAGGCAAGTGTATATAATGGTAAGAAAAGTGGAAGGTCTTCCTTAACAAAATTTTGAGGATAGAATTAGAGTTTATAGAAATCAAATGTAGTTGGGGTAATTGGTGAAATATAAGAGTAAAAAACTGTCAGAAAAATTAGAGTATGTAAACATAGTTTCTTATCATGTTAAACTTTTACCTACCCTGCGGGGGTCCAGCCTCCGCTGATCAGGGCCTGAGCTGGGGGAAGGGAATGAGAAAAGAAAGAGACAGAGAAACAGCGGGATTGGGAGGACTGCCTCTCAGGTAGCAAGGATTGAGAGAGAGCAAATTTATTTTACCGCAGCCTCTTATATAGGACAAAAATCTCACAAAGGAAGGCGAAACCATACAAGCAGGATATGTTAATGTCTGAGTTAAATCACACAAGCAGGGTAAGTATCAACGACTAAACTATGCAAATCTTAACATCTATGCTAAGCAGGACAATCACTTAGGATGGGCAGGTTCCGGGCCAGACCTGGCGCTGCTTGGCTATCCATAGACATGCAACCAAAAGGTCAGGGGAGACAAAGGAAAAAGAGGCTTAGTTCCTTGAACATAAGCCAAAGAATGTAAGGGCTCTGCCAGGTTCTATTCCGGTTTCCTTCACTACCCTATGATCCAGCAATTCCAGTCCTAGAAACAAACCCACATAGGCTTATCTACAAATGTCCATACACTTACTTGACAATTTGGAAACCAATAACTCATTCTTAATAGGTGAATGGATAAACAAACTGGTATATTATTCAATGGAATAGTCATCTTTAAAAACATAAACTTCTGCTACATGCAAGAGCATGGATGAATTTCACAGAGATAATAAGACAAAGGAACTAAGTCAAATGGAGTAGTTAATATACCATTTAATTTTTTGAAGTTCTAGAATACTCCAAATGAACCCATGGGAATAGAAATGCAATCAGTAGTTTCCTGATATGTGAGTGGGGGAATGGGGCATGCTCTTACAATGCCTTAAAATTAACAACACAGAAGAAGACTTCTGTGACCAAAGGCATGAGGTTTTTTTCCCCCACACTTTAAGCAATGGATATCAGCTCTGTATGTTCCAATTCAATTCTGACAATATGTTCTGGAGATGGTTTCAGATCCCCTAGACTGCCTACCCCCACTCAGACACCAGTCACAAGTCCAGGCATCCAGAACTTCTGACCTACCAGCTTCAAGGTGAGGTTCCCATAATCCCCTCTTTGGGTTTGATGAACTTGCTGGAGTGGCTCACAGAACTCAGGGAACCAATTTATTATAAAAGCTATCACACAAAAAAAATACAGATAAAAAGATGCATAGGGAGAGTTATGGGGGAAGAGACACTTCTTGCCCTCCCTTGCATGCTATCCTCCAGGAAACTCCATGTGTTTGGCTCTCTGGAAGTTCCCCAAATCCAGTGCTCCTGGTTGTCTTTGGAGGTTTCATTACATAGGCATGATTGACAACCAAGCAGAAATGTAATTGGACAAAAAGCACATGATCTAAACCCAGCAAGGTCTGCATGTTCACAATTTTCTTGGCCTTTTAGTGTAGTATTCCTTCCTCTACATGGGGCAGGACCTTCTCTGGAATGAGCATTTTTGACCCATGATCAGATTAGAGTCCTGGCCAGGCCAGGTGAAAGAAGGGCAGAAGAAGGTCACAGACAGAGAGATTCTACCACCTGAGGTCTGCTTCTGAGGCCTAAAACACCACAACATTGTGTGTATGTGTGGACTTTACTCTTTAACAATCTTTTTGAATTCAATTTTTATGTGTCTCTTGTCTGAGTTTTAATTACTTAGCATGTATTATTATTTTAAATTATGGGTATTTCATAAAGTTTGGAATGAGAGTGACATCAGGAAAATATCAAGCTTGGAAGTTGTAAGCTCTTATTTCCCTACAGACAAATTGAAAAAAATACCCTAGAAACTGTCTGCACCAACTGAGTAGAAGCTCTGGAGAAAGTAATCAAAGGGTTACGGCTAACAAGCAAGCACACATCAAGAAAAAGTTTGAAGAACACAAGGACACCTTTGCAAAAACATTAGTGAAAATGAGCAAAAAGAACACATCATTACTGAGCACAAACAACCAGATAGTGTTGGCTAAATTTGCTTGGAAAGTCTCTAAACAAATGACGAGCATCCTTCAATGATTAATTTTTTTTTCCTTTAGAAAAATTTGGATTCAAGGGGCAAATGTACAGATTTTTCACATGTGTACATTTCATAATGTTGGTAATGGTGCGTATGCTACCCAATGGTTAGTTTTTCAATCTTTGTCCGCCTCCCTTCATTCACCCATTAGGACCCCAGGGTCTGTTGTTCCCATTTTTATGTCCATGTGTATGCAGTGATTATCTCCCACTTGTAAGTAAGAACATGCATTAAGTTTTCGGTTTCTGTGTTAATGCATTTACAATAATGACCTTAAATTTCTAAAAGAACTAGACATTGACCTTCTATATGACCCAGCAGTTCCCCCACTGGGAATATGCCCAGAGGAACTCAAATCATTCTCTATAAAAGATACCTGCACACGCATGCTTTTTGCAGCACTTTTCACAATAGCAAAAACATGGATCCAACCATACTGCCCATTGAAACTGGACTGGATGAAAAAATTGTGGTACATATACACAGTGGAATATTATGCAGTCATAAAGAAAGGTAAACACATGGACTTCGAAGTAACTTGGATGGATTTAGAGTCTATCATACTCAGTGATCTATCACAGAAACAAAGAACAGAGTTCCATATGCTCTCACTCATAAGCGAACCCTGAACATGTGCCATATACAAGAAAGGGTTTGGTAGTAGCGGGATACTGCCTGGGTGGAGTGGGGACACAACAGCAGTATGGGTGCTTGATTTTAAACCAGGCAAAGCGGGGACTAAAAGGAGGCTGAAACTTTACCTGTATGATGTCCTTTTGTATACCTAATCCTGAATTGTACCCCACATCTTTAAAATTAAAAAATAAATAAATAAAATAAGACCCATGAGAGTAACTGTTTAGCTTATTGCTGTTTCCATGATGCCTGTAGTGGGTCATTGATAAATGCATCCTCAATGAATGAATAAATAAATGGTATTAAGTGAAGAT